TGGGTGGGAGCATGGCACTGCCTCAGCAGAGCAAGGCCTGACCTGTCCCTTTTCCCCACAGGTGCACCCAAAATGTTTTGAGCGACAAATCCTTCCAGTCTCTCGCAGTGGGGTACCTGAAAGAGCCAAATGCACGCAGTTTGGAAAGAGGAAAGCTTAAGAGATGCACAGCTGCTCTGTAAATTCCTTCCAGAAATGAATATATCATCCTACAGTTTCTCTGTGAATTACCTCTCTGCATCTTGTTAAAAATACGAGGTGTACACAAAGGGAATAACGTGATGTGCGCTCTAATGCACAACTGCTGTCCTTTTTTTATGAGAAAATTCCTCCCATTCCTTCTTGTAATCTATTTCTCAGCTGGGTCACTTTCAACTCGGCTCAGAGCTTTGCAATCGAGTTCAGTGGGAGAGAAGTATTTGCAAGTTATAAGGATTAGTTACTTTGAACTCTGAGTACCAGTATTCCTGCAGCATAGAAGATAAAAAAGAATTTGTGTGAATTGGAGAATAACAAAGCATCTTTACTCTTCTTTGTACCTTCCCATGATAAAAAAAATAGAGCTGAAATGAAGAGTATGACAGAATTCCCCTTAAATTCAGTAGTGTCTGTTATTGAATTTTTCATTAACATTTATCATTTTCCCCCCTCAGCAATTTAACAATGGCAAAATAGTCTGTGTAATTAATTGCACATACAAAATATGTATATAGAGCACTCGGTAGAAAAAGCTCTTGCATAACATAAAAGCCACATAATTCATTTCTCTAATGCAGTCAGGTATGGACAGCATATGTGCATATATACATACATACAGACACGCCTTGTGGGTATCCAAAGCTACAAGATGTCCTGGGGAGGGGAAAGAGCCTAAAGCTATAAATTCAACAACTCATGTGTTGATGCATTAGTACTTATTTCCATGACATGTGTATGTATTCTCAAAAGTTCAATATTTTTATTAATGATAAAATATGCGTTCTTATTTCCGCCATGCATTTTTCTTGACCTTCCTGTTAAAATATTATATTGTTTAAGTGACTAGAAATTATAAAAATTACAGCCAGCTGTTCAGCTCAGGTACCAGGCATGCTCATGCTATCTATACATATATAAATACCTGTCTTGGTGTATTAGTAGGATCTGACAATCTTGTTATTCTGTGACTACTGTGAATTTTCCGTGTACAGTCACAGCGAAGGACCCCCTGGATTATAGACTTGGCATGTCTTGGATCCGATACCAGGGGCTTCAATCTGTTTGCAAAAATACTGTACATGCTCCTTTATTTTCCAGGGAGGATAATCAGCTATTGTTTTTTGGGAACCCAGTGAATACCACTTTCAAAATAATGTCCCACGTGTTTTTCTCTATTTTCTCCCAAGCAGGTATGCAAACTCCTGTTAACATTCTCTAGTATTTTGTCCCCACAAGTATAAAAAGAGAAAATATATTTCCACAAATATAAAAATACCTACTTAATTGCAAAGTCTAATATATTTATCTTGGATTTACTTCTCATGACAGAAGTCATTGAAGTTGTGATGAAGACAGCCAAATCTCTGTTGATAACGTAGTTATGCTTTGTAACTAAAGCAAGTCCAATAGCAATTCTAAGTACTCTAAGTAATTTCAAAAAATTGCTCTTTATCTTTCATTACTTCAATGATTTCTAGCTTGTGTTTGAACATTCATTAATTAAATCAGTCAACTGTAGGAAAGATATTTTACATACTTTAGAACAATACCTAAAATTAGTCAAGTCAGATGTTCATTACTAAACTTATCCATGATGTGAGTTCCAGAGCAGTCATTAGGGCCTTTTATAACCATTGTGAGTCATTCTGAGTATTTCTTAAACTTTCCAAGATGCAATTTGTTAGTTAATTTCTGTTTGCAATATTTTTCCTTAGAAAGCACTGGAATTTTCCTTAGAAAAAACTGGACATTGGTCCAGTAGGATCAGCTATTCCATTTTTGCTTGCCCAAATTTTTCAATGACTTTCAACAAGGTGCTGAAATCCTCACTCACAGTGAAGAAATGGTAGCCTACAGATGGTTTTCTTAGAAATCAGAAGAGGTAAGTAGCTTTAATATCTGCTGTGGGGGTGTTTCAGATCTTCCATTATCCCAGGAAAGCCAGACTTCATCGAGGAGAGAACCACTAAAGAGTGCATCAGAAACACCAGAGGGAGCAGTGAGAGTAACGAGGCACTGATCTTCAAATTTGAAATAAGCTGAATGTGACATTCTCTGGACAGAGAGACACAATTCTGTCTCTCAGGAGAAGCACAGAGAGAAGAAGAGAAAACAATCTTTATCTCTGCTCCTTTGCTTTCCCCACGTGGAATGTGGTTGGAGATTGTTCACCTGCAGTGGTGGCTGGGCTGGATTCTGGTGAAGTTTGGGTTCAGTGACCAATGGATCCAGCTGTGGCTCACATTCTCAGCACAGAGTCACGAGTTTGACTTAGGTAAGTGAGAAGTAAGTATGTAGAACAGTATAGTATCTCTTTAAATAGTATATTAATGTAATATAGTATAGTTTTAATAAAGCTATCCTTCAGCCGTCTGATCTGGAGCCAAACATCACTTCTTCCCCCATCCGGGGTTTGCTGCATTTTTACTATAAGCTGTATAAAAATCTGAGCTGATATCCACGTAGAAAATTTATTATCCAGCCTCTTTTCACCTACCTAGAGGCACGAATGCCAGGAGTAACTCAGACCACTGGATATGTTGATCCTAATGTAGCTGCCATGCCCATTCAATAATTTCTGAAAGGACTAAATAGGCATCTGTAGATTGATTCCCCTTAAGGTTTCTCCATTGCATACACTGGTAAATATTTCATAATAATTACTTCTCAACTAAAGAGCTGATGAAGGCTGACTCATGGTGAATATTTTGAACTTTTCAAATGGTGTCACTGAAGCTCAAAGCAGAAAATATGCAGAATGATTAAATTGTGGAGAATAGAGCTGTATGCATATTTCCTTAAGTAACTGATCCACTGAAAGACTAACACTTGTTTTGAAAAATGAAATGCCTAGATAAGCATTAGATTAATGAAGTACACCAAGTAAAGTGAAATGTACCAGTGTTTATGACCTCTTTTAACAGGAAGTTTAGTAGCAAGACACGATAGCAGCATTTTTCTTTCTTGCTAATAAGCATTATATTCTGCCCTGAGATATATCTTTATAGCTACTCAAAACTGTAAGATATGGGGAAAAATGCTTCACTGAAAGGGTGGTCAGGCATCTGAACAGGCTGCCCAGGGAAGTGGTAGTAGAATCATCACACCTGGCAGCATTTACAAAAACAGGTGCATGTATCACTAGGGTATATGTGCTCATTAGTGGTGAACACAGTGGTGCTGGTTTGACAGATTCCATGATCTTAGAGGCCTTTTCCAACCTTAACATTTCTACTATCCATATCTTATAAGCCTGCCAAGAGCCATCAGTAGAATTCAGATATAATAATTGGGAAATTAGTTGAAAATGTGTGTACAACTCCACATGTCATTATTTATTGATTTCTAGCAGCACTTCTAAACTAATAGAAGTTTACATTTTCATTGCATCTCTGCATTTCTCTTAACAGGAAATGTCTGTAGGTGTTTTAAGTTTTCAGGATGAACCAATTTAGATATTTTAATGGCTGTGTCTCAACAAAATCCTTCTGCCAGCAGCATCTTGTGGGTTACCATCCTTCCTCCCTGTCTCTCCAACCTGACTGCACCACAGCTGGAGCAGCAGTGGCTTTAGCAGCTTGACCCACCTGAGATTACGTGTGTGCTTCAGCAGAAAGTGGTATGGCAGGGAATATATAACCTGTTGCACTTCTTTTGCAGTTTAATGAACAGATCCCACACCATGTTTTTTGTGCAAGGGATTTTGCTTAACTCTCCCCTTGAAAAATGGAAAACTCTTTTTCTGAACTTATTAAAACAGGACTAAATATTTTTCTCTATGATGAAAAAGTTGGCATTACAAAAAAAGAAGGGATGCAGAACAAAAATATACAGGATATTTTACTGAATGAGTTAATTAAATATTGATTTCCCATAATGTGCCATGGTAGCTTCACAAGAAAAGGAATTCAGTTGTATGTATGAAAATCAATACCAGCACAAAACTTGCCCTAATATGACAGCAATCTTCAGCTGACTGCAGGACTCTGCTGAGCCATAAGCTTACTTAAAACTCAGGCAAAACTTGAAGTAACTTCAGAGGGAATTTCAAGTGGTAGAACTTGTCTGTATTTTTTATGATTCCCTGGTACCTCTGAAATGTTATTGCTACCTTTTACTGGAAACTAAAGTTCATGTCAGAACGTTAATTTCATTGTAAAATCAAGAGAGAAAAATTGCAAAGTGCCATTTGCATAATCATATTATCATACCAACACATTTCCTTTTTTGAGTGAGGGAATACTTATTAATCATCAACCCAATTAATACCAATTAGGTATTAATTAATAATACCTATTAATCATCAACACAGGTACAGAACCTGTGTTAGTCCAGGTGAGTCAAGTTTCAAATAAAGCGACAGTGAAACTGGTTACATGGAAAAAGAAATACACTAATGACACAAGAAGTAGAGGATGAAAGTGCTGTTCTAGTGATTTGCAGGTATATGCCATGGGCAGCAGAAATTACAGAAGAGAAAGCTATTAAATTATTATTTCCATTCATGGTCCATATCTAAATATTATTTTCATATGGCATAGAATTTTTGCTTTGCTTCTGCTTTATTTTCCATCAATTTTCTTCCAAAAAATTCTGATAACAATCGTAGTGGCAAACAGAATAAATAGTAAATTAAAATAATTTAAAAACAAATAAACCAAACCCTTTCTAGTGACAGAAATACTGTCAGACGTGGCAAAATGTGCAAATATAATTTGCTCCATAGGAGCCACTACTGTGTAAGTGTTTCAACAGCTGACCCAGTGTATCTTGACTAAATTGCTGTTTGAAGATACAAGTAGGTAGATGGAATCAGTTGTCCTCAAGGTAGCCTAAATATCTCATGCTGTGTTCATTAAGAACATCACTCAGAGTGCTGTGTTAGGATTCATGGGGTTCTTTGCTCAATTTGATCATCTTTAGAAGTGCACAAGATCACAGGCCAGATTCATCAAAGCAAGGGATAAAAGAGATTTTCCTTTGTACAGCTTGGATGTGGAGCTATTTTAAATTAAACTATTTTAATAAATTTAGTTTTCACTTCATTAATAGTTTTGCATTTTGTAGTATATGACTGCTAAAGCAAGAATGATATGAAAAGTTTGTACTTGTTTATATATAATTTTCAATTGTATACTGGAATTTTTGTGCTGTTATCTGGTAGAAAGCGTAGCTAACTTGTGACTGTCTTAATGCAATAATAAAAGGGCCTCTGTAGAGATCCAATTATTAAAATTATTAGAGAGATGCCACTGCCCAAATTTAATCACAAATGAGACCATATACCAAAGTCAATAGAATGGATTTTTATTTAGCAGTAAATGTGAAGGAGAGAGAGAGACAGGGAGAAGGAGGCTGGGGAGAGAAAGATAGCGGCAGAGAAGCAGAGAAAAATACCTCCACTCTTTAAATTCCACCCACATCCTGCCACTCCTCCTGGTCTTCTCAGAGATTGCAGTCTTCTGGAGGTGGTGGCTGCAGGCTGTGTCCATCAGGTGGTGGGGGAACAAATCCAAAGAGCACAAACTGCACTGGGTTTGCAGGGTCAGGTGGGAATCCAGGGAAGGGGATTTCACTCTGGGTAATACAATACAAACCACAAGACACCTGAATCAGTAGTGCTGTGGACTTTAAGGGTTTTGACACCTCTTAGTCAGCACAGCCCATCAGTCATGGCACATCACCCAGTATGAATCCCTTTGTCCTACATGAGACTGTCCCATGCTTGGGACTGGCCTTTTCACAGCTGAAGCCATTAGAGAAGGGAGGACAAGGGCACGACAGAAGGACTTGCCC